AACCTGAGATGGTATACAGCACTGCAAGGTTTTATTGACGTTTGCTTAAGATGATCTATGTAAGTCACTCTTAGATATTCAACCTTCCCAAAGTCATGCCAGTAAAATGTTTATGCTACAACATCATCATCTATTCTCTACTGTATCTCCACGTGCAGACACACACATTATATATCTTCAATTACATTAAAACTATCTATACAATAAGTCACAGTTGAAGCTATACCTTATTTGTTCAAACATCCAAGTTAAATTTACATACTAATGGTTGCATATTTGGCTTTAATAGATGCACTATTAGAAAATAAACATAATAAATGAATAACCATTTTAGCATGAAGTCACCTAATCTTGATGAAAAATATCTGAAAATGTAGCAACCAGGGAATCGATTTAATTTTTATTTGAAAATAACGCTAATCACAGACTTAGAAGATAAATATAAATTATATGGAGTAGCATACTAATGATGGATCAGGCAAACCCACCCTGTGCCGTGAATGCAATAAGATCAAACTGGTTGAAATGGATGGTATATACTGTAGATGCTCTCTTGCTCAAGCATGGAATAAAGGATATAGACTGGGATGGTTTAATTTGCTGAAGTTTCCCCTTACACTTGACAGTGCATTTCATTTTCAGCATCTTCTAAAGCTTCAGGACAAGCTCTGTGTCTCCCAGCAACAATCAGGCTTATGCACAGGAAAGATGCACAGGGATGATTTCTGTCCCTGAAAAGTGCACAGTAAGGTAGAAAAATTGGACTTTCTAATGGTGAACAAGAGGGCTCACATACACAGCAAACAGTGCAAACTGGGCTACTGCATAAATCCTTTGTCATCAGAGCAGGAGCTTAATACCTACAGCAAACTGAGCAAAGGCAAATGGGAGCAAGCAGGCCCAGCCTTTGCTATCTTGCACAGGAGGAAGAGGAGCCTGCTTTGATTTCCTTTCCAGTATAATGAACCACTTCTTTCCACACAACTACATCTTTTTGATTATTTTGATCATCTCTGCTATCCTCGACTGTTCACTTTTCAAAGCAGAAAGAGTATCCTGGATTAGGACTTCATACACCATTCTGGCTACAACTGTGCAGGAGACGAACAGTGTCAATTCAAGTTGTTTGTCAAGACTCCTCACCCCACTTCCAAAGCCTGCTATCCTCTCAGGTCTCCCAGCAGTGCTTCTCCAGGAGCTTTTTCTCTTCTGGAGCCATTAAAATGATCCTGCTTAGAAAAACTATTATTTTGAGTTTTGAAGCTACCAGGTAATTATAAAGGAATTGAATTTTGAGGGACCATGAGTCCCAGCGGGCACTAGGAAGGAGCAGCCCCTGGAGATGATGGCAGGGGGTGATAAAAATAGGTGGTGCTAGGCTTATTGCAGATATTGCAGAATATTACAGATAATGCAGAAATGAGGAAATCAAGAAGACAGCAACTCCTATATCTCACAGAGGGAGTTTTGCTAGAAATCTGATCCAGTTTCCTTCTGTACCACTGCCAGAACAGCCATAATCATGCTTCTGCTTGACCTCAGTGCAGACCACAAGGTTCGTCAGCAATTGAAATAAATAACTATTTAAATCATCAGCAGCCAGAGACACCGGCAGCATCAAATGAAAGTGACTTTGTGAAAGGAGAGCACACTAAGAGTCACTCAACATGATGTGCCACTTGCTTGCCTTGGCAGCAAAATGATGGAGGCTCCAGGATCCATCCTGCTGCCAGACACCTTTCTTCTTAATCAGCACCTCTGGGCTCACCACACTACATCTGAACTGTGAGTGCCTTCCTTCTCTAAATATTATTTCATTTTTGTACCTTTCCTTGAGACTTGTCAGCCCATCGACTTCTTTTTTTTTTTTTTTTTTTTGTAAGAATGCTGGCTCAGCATAAACCAGCGAGGGATTACATGGAACTGTGTTCAGAGCCCTGACAAACAGAGACATAATACAGCAGACTAGATTGGAACTGAGCCTTTTGTTTTATTACATTGTGCCTTGCAGGCTCTTGGTCCTTCCTGCCCTGCCCATCCTCAGCCTTTCATTTCACAGCCTGAGCAGAAGTCCTACACAAACCATTGAAAGCAAGTTACCAGACCCTGATCCTCACACTGCTGTGACTTGTGTCAAATTATAGCTGAAGTGATTTGCTAACCCAAACCCAGGCAATAATCTGATCTGTGGGGAGAAGCACTCTAACACTGCTGTGCTGAGTGGCCACAGTGGTACAAGCACTGTCAGCTTTTCCCAGCAGCTTTTTGACCTACTGAAGCCTGCGCGCATGTACTGAGCAACTGATGACAAAGGGAAAAATCTGACACATTCAGGCTGTTAAAAGGCATAAGACATATACTCTAAGTCCCAAGAAAATGCTCCAATTAAATGGAGTTTTTGAGCAAGAGTATATTTAGCCCAGCTAAAGGTTACTGCTATGCTGTGTGGACTTAATGTATTTGAAGAACATTTTAAAGAAGAGAAAGAAAAATATTTATGTTGGTGTACCATATTCAGATTATAAGGAAGGATTTGGAGGAGTACCCAAAGGTTGAGAGGTCTCTCTCAGTTAATCACATAAAGGATGGACATTTAACTGGACCTTCTGAGCCACAGGATTCAATTTCTGTTGTGAAAGGCTCTCAAAACACTTGGTCTGTCTTTGTTCAGTTCAGTCAGGCTGAAAAGCACTGCATGGTCTTGCATGCAGAAAATCTGCCACTTTTAAAATATCCATTGAGATTTCTTACAACATCCACACTGGAAGACAGGCTAAAACTTTTCTTTCAAATATCATATGAATAAACCATGTGATTCATTAATTATGACTCCTTAGCAAGCAGACAGCAACAAAAGGTCTGCTAACTTGGTTTTACAGCATACCTGAAAAATAACACAGAACAGAAGAAAAAAATGGAGATCTTATGGTAGCAACGAAGAGTATTTCATAGTATTTTCATTTGAAGGGTCGTTAACCCTTTAGAAAGCAATGCCAATATGTACTAGAAGTATGTACAGCACAGAGTTTGAAAAAGCTCAATGTAAAATACCAGATAAAAGCTGGATATAGACTTGCTTTCAAACAAAAACCCAAGCTTGCCTCCATTCTCTTATATTCAGATAAAGAATTGAAAAATGTAAACTAAGAGTTGGGGAGAACTACCAAAACTGAAGGTGAAACATCCAAGTCAAGTAGGTGCCTGTATGTATTAAAAGAGAAAGGAGGAAAAATGAAAAAAAAGAAAAAAAAAGAATAAAAATAAAAGAGAAATAATAATTTAAAAGTCCCTAAGCATTACCTTATATCAGAGAAAAAAATCTGTTTCTAAAACATTGGCCATACTCTTTCTTTAGAAGAGAAAAAGGACCAAAACTAAGGCTACCAAACAGCACCAATTAAAAAAGAAATCACATTCAGCTTCCTAGAAACCATGTACTTTCCTCTGAGCTTATCCACAGTAACCTGTGCCTTTGCCATCTTCAGATTGCTTCACTACACCTGACTTACCTAAAACTGAACATGAAAACTACATGCAGCTTAGAGAAGTTAGACACCCAGCCCTCTCTTTGACCCAGCCTCAACATCAGTCCATAGCATTCCAACAATCTGGGCCTTTCCCCAAAAGCCAATCTACTGCTAATATCAGCTGGAAGCTTGGATCCACAGTTTTAAAGCAAGCCAGAAATCTCATCTTAGCTCCATCAGATTGCAATCTATAAACAAAGCCACAAGCTCAGGAGCAAAGCCAATCAGAAAGACAGGGGCTGAAAATGAGACTTGAGCATTTTTTTACTGAAAAGAGCAACAAACATTCTGTAGGAGATCAAGGAAACCTACAAGCAGACAAACCTTCAGGAACAGTGGCAAAATCATGTCTTTCTGTAAGATAACTAACTACAGGCTGAATGCACTAATGCCAGTTATCACCAAACAAACAAATAAAAAAAAACCCAATCAACCAAAAAAATTCCCCAAACCCAAACAGCCAAAACTATCCCCCAAACTTATCTCAAACAGTATTTTGATGCAACCAAACAAGATATGCAAGAATTGCCATGAATTAAAACAAATGGATGGATGCTGCTACTGGTGTAGAGACTACTCAAATGTCATCTATCACTGTTGATTTCCTCTTTAATTATTACAGTTCTTAAAAAAAACATAATCAAGCTGTACACAAAGAAACCAAACTAAAAGGTAAAAGGCAGATGCAAAAAGTATTTTACTGCTTTAGCATTTCAGACTTCATCAAGCATCTATGTCAGCTCAACTCCCCCAAAGACCAGCTGAGATCACCTGACTTGAACCTCCCAGTGCTGCTGCTGAAGAGTATTATGGAAGCAGCATTTCCACTCAATCCAGTCATGCCTGATTGCTTTGTGAGTACAAAAAGCAAGATGAGGTTGCTAACTACAAAAATCACCACAGCAGAGGAGTTACAAAACAAATACAAGCTGAGCCTGCACTCTCCCCTCCAATGCCAGGAGAAAAGAGCTGACAGTGAGATGGCAAGGCACATCCACAAAGAATTTGCTAAAGGTTAACATTGCAACTCACATTGACATCAGTGATTGTAGAGTGAAAACAATGGGAAAAATTAAGAACGTGTTGCAATCCTTCAATGCTTTGCATCAGACACATTTATAATGAAACAGAATCACGGACACAACTCAAGGACATAACGAAATCATAACATAACCAAACCACAGGCCTAAATCAATCCCTATTCTGGATATATTTAAAAGTTGAATATGTGCTTAAACATTACTCAGAACAGGATGTTGACTGGTTATCAGCAGGAACTTAAACATTATCTGGTTGAAAAAAATGTTATTATCAAAAGCTGGATTTTACTGCAGTACATCAGAGAATCATGATTGCTGAAAAGCTGTTGCTTTAAAACCTAATCTTTTAACGACTCAAAATTTTAATTGTGTGATATTCATTAGGAATGCACATACATCACAGTAAATTATTATCATGTATATGTTATTTTACCTGGAATTTTACTTTTTGCCAAATGTGAGGCCCAATAAATTGTTTCAAGAAGCGTTCATCTTCACTCCAGAACAGTCGGATGTCAGGGATATCATACAGGATCATGGCCAGCCTCTCCAAACCCAAGCCAAATGCCCAGCCAATTTTATCCTGAGCACCAGCTGCAACACATAAGATAAAAATTCAAGAGCTTAAGTTCACAACATGGAAAATTACTGATAAAATGTTCACCTATTTATTAAGAGGGAATAATGAAAAAGGTGAAATGGCAAACCAGAAAATCTTACAAGTAAGTGCCAAATGAATGATCTAAAGTCTACAAGACAGATCCTACTTAAATCAAAAACTGCAGCAAGACTGAGCACATCACTGAGTCCAGGAACCAAAACTGACAATAAAACAAAGCCACAGCCTTGACAACCTGTGTCCAAAGTTTCAGACAAGCTTGAGAAATGCTGCATAATGCTATACATCACTACCCTTCCCTTAGAGCTGAGCATTTCCTCACTTGACTCCACTGTTTCATAAGACACATAAACATGAATTCCCTGTTCAGAGTATTTTCCTTGGTCTGACAGACCAAGTCAAGTCTACAGAGCATTAACATCATTACCAACATTTCAAAAGACCATAATTGTCTCTTTTGAGGCTTCTGGAAGAAACAGAGCAATGGGATGTGAGGCACTGTTGCATTAGCATCACACTTCCAACCAGGGAAATCCTGAGCTGCTGTTCCTGGGAAAAGCCACTGCTCTCACAAGTCTCTTTTATGCAGCACTAAATATAAAAGGACAAGAATATTTAATAAAGAAAAGCTGTACAGATATTAATGATGCAACATTTCTGTCAGGAAAGTAAATATTCAAACCTTCCTTCATTTATAGGGCAGGAGCACTGATTCATGCAAACAGGGATCTTTTCAACACAAAAAACTAAGTCTATGTTTAGCCATCAGCCTACTGATTTTGAAATAAGCTGAGAGCCCAGAAGCCCTCACAAAGGCTCAGAGCTTTTAAAAACTTAAACAAATGCCTAAACAAACACACCTGCAGAATGGATGTGTGCGTGTGTGACAGACTTGACTTCACACCATCAGCACTTGCAGTGTGCTCCTGAGTCACACAACATCACTGCACATCTCACAGCTATGCACCAGGGCCACAGCAGCCCCTCCAGTATCAATTTGAACTAATTTTTTGGAAACTTTGAATTCAGCAGCTTTCCCATCTTCCTGCAGGAAGGTGGAAGCACAAGTCTTATTTCTGACCCTTGTCTCTGCTATCAGAAAGGAAACAGCTCCCATTGTTTAGGCACCGACGACAGACATGCTGAGTTATCCTGTTGTGTTCAATGCTGAGACTAAACAGGCCTGAATTCTGTTCAAATAGAGAAAGGCATACCAAGCTTGGGAAAAGAGACACACTCACAACTTCAATTCCATTAATTCACCTGAACTTGCCTATTTTTCTGGAATAATGAGTCCTAGGCAGAGGCTGTGTCTCACCTGCTGCGTCAGCAGTATTGTGCTGCCACAGCAGTTACATCAACTTGTAAGAGCACTTCATAGAGGAGTCAGGATATTCTGCCTGACTCTCCTCATGTGCTCAAAGGTAAGATTTTTCACTTTCTGACATTTGAAAGCAGACAGTTCATCAACTGAAGTGTGGAAGTCCTACAAAATAGAGGACTGGGTGTGAACTCATGGCAGAGATGCTGAAAAAAGTGCTTAGACCAACCAGCAGACTATGAGCAGCTCTGACTCTGGAAACCTGCAATCCATGCTGCATTACATGAAGAACTGCACAACTTGCTTTTGCTGAGTTTTAGAGAACACAGAGTGACTACAAAGAACGTATTGAAATTTGTATTTGGGAGCGATTCTGAGCTTTGACTTTAAGCATAGACCATAAACTGCTCCTCTTCCATGCTAAAAGTACTACTCCTCTCCATACACCAGTATATTAAAGTAATTACATTTGTATGGCTGTGAAAAAGGGAATATAATTCATTGCAATGGTGCTGCTTCTTCAAACTTCCAGCTTGCCTTTCCTAGATCAGCAACTCCTGCCTCAATGACAGAGCTCCTATTCATTCCAGAAGTACCAAATTTTCACATACATATATGGGCATTTCTGTAGATCAACCCCCTCCTCCAGATGTAGAGTAAAGCACCAGGAGCAATATCCATGAGGGTTCTGAATGGTCACTGCTTACTCTCAACAAAGGCATTAAACCTGAAACCTAAAGATGCTAGAATAAGCACTAGCATTATTAATTCACAGATGCTCAATAAAGTATACATGATGGGGGTGATGAACCTCCTTCCTCATACTAGTGATGATTCCTGGTAGATCAGACAGGAAAAAAAAATATGACAGAAGAGAAGAACAGGTGTATATTCTGATTAGCAGAGCTTTACATTTATAACTTGAGCTTTTTATTATTTTGATATAAGAATGGTTTTCACTGTAACACCTTTTTCCTCAGTGACTTGCTATCAACTTGAACTCTGCAATGAATGTCTAGATTTTGTATCAGCAACTTCTTTTCTATTCAGGTTTTCTTGGTTGGTTTGTTGGTTTTTTTTTAGAAGGACTGGGACACTTCACAGGTTTTTTATTTGTAGCAGACAAAGAAATTCTGCTATCTGCCTAGCAGCTCAGAGCATTGTCATCTGAGCTACAATTAAACACCTATTCACCAAACTGAACTTGTCTTTTGGATGATCCTTGTACAATTATCAGCCTTCAAACCACAAGCTTCCCAAATGTCTCCAGTGAAAGCTGTATCAGTGAAGAATTACCTCTACTCAGACAAAATAAATGAAAGAAAAAGGAAAATTCAGATTATTAAAATTCCTCTTCAAATCAGCACTAGCAAATCTCTGCACTCTGAATCTTCAGTTATTTTGTCTCTGATCTCTTCTCCAACTTTCTATTTGTAAAGCTCCAAGTCAATGAAGCATTCACTTAAGTCATTTGAACAACTTCCTTGGGGGACTCAACAAGATTAATGCATGCTTCTAAACATATTTCTGACTGGAAATTATCAGGTGACTTAGAAATTAAATGAGCCAGTAATCATCCTGTTGAGTGAGGGAGCAACCCATAGCTTTTCCAACACAAATATGTTGTGTTTAAATGCACCAAATTTTGGCAAGTATTATGCAAAGAAGTCAAGTGAATGTGAATCAACAGGACAGGAAGAGTGAACACAGAACAGCATTAAATATGGCAAAATGAAAATTGAGGTTTTGATGAGGGGACCTGGCCAAAGCAGCAGATTCCAGGGACCTGGTGGGGCAATCATAGCATCACTGCTTGAAATAACACAGCCCAACAGATAAAGATTTCCTGACACATGAGCTTTCCCCAACTGGCCATCAAAGATTTTTATACTGCCAGGCTCCTGCTGCCTCATATGAAAAATTTGACTCCTCACCAGAAGAAAATTGCTGGAAGCTTTGCTTGTCAGGTAGCCAAAAGATGGAGGAGGAAAGGACAAAACAGTTTGACTGGCTTCCCACACTGGGAGCTAGGACAGCCCAAATCTGATGTCAGAAGGTTGCACCATTGCAGCTCTAACAGAGAAGCTCAAGAATCCTTATCTTCCCTGATAAGTCATATCTATTTATCCTGGACTTAAGCTTCAAGCCCAGGTGAATCAGTTTACATGTAATGTAGACCAAGCAAGTCATTCTCCAAAAAGCAATGTTAAATGAAAGTTAAATTTGCTCAGTCAGGATTGGAATCTTCCCAATTATTCACTAAGGCATAAATAATGACCTGCCAGAATTAATGGATTATATTGCCCTGAATCCTCAGAAAAAAACACAGACAGAAACTCTCAGCCTCTCAAGGAGTGTGAGGCAAGACATTCTGCTCTGTACAACAATTTTAAGACATAATTTGCAACATAGTATTAGTAACAGGTTGACAAAACTTTTTTGGTTTACATTCCAGTCATACTTATTTTTGTATCGATACTGGCTTTTATTTAAGAATTTTTGCTATTTCTGTAAAACTGCCAATAAAGAAATCTTTCTTTCAATAGATCCTAAATCGAGTCTTCAAATTGTCATACTCAGCAGTTATTGAGAAGTGAAAGAAATTAAATCTTGATCTTGGATTGAGGCAAAAACATGAATACACAACAGCCTGCATAGAAGGTGTTCTTCACAAAATGCACAAAAATTAATACACCCGAAGTATGAGTAGCTGAAATCTGGGATGAGTTCCAGAAGCAAAGACCTGAATTTGATCTCCTCCTTTCAGTCCAAACTATGACTGTTAATGGAGCCAGCTCTAGAACTGAAATGGTGGGAGAAGGGGTGAACAGATTCTCAAGGGCACATGGATTACACATCATGTTTTACAAAACAAATCAGCTTTAAACTGTATAGAAAGTAAGTTATAGACATAATGAACACGCAACTTGACACAAAATACCACAAATTCTGGAAACAAATGCCAAGGCCCAGATTTGAGTTCTGTGTGATTAATGGACAGCTTACGAATCAGGCTTTGAAAAACAGGTTCTGCAAAATAAATATTTACTTATTTCTAGAGACTAGGAATGCATAGTCTACATAATTGCCACAGTAATGAGGCAAACATGTTTACTTGTGTTAAAAATAAGCCATTATAAATTATATCTTTATTATTTCCATAAGTTATTTCAGCTAAAACTCCCATATGTAGGGAGTAAAAAGCTTTACATGGAAAAAAAGTAATATTAAGGCGTCAGTCTAATAGAGAAGAGCTTCTGAAACTGCAAGGTCATGTGGCTGGAATTTTAAGCAAGTGAGGCCAAAAAGCTTACCCAAGTTTTCTCTGAACTCCTCTCCAGTGAAAGCAAAAATCAAGACCATCACAGCGTTCTCTTGTAATTCAGTTAAACTGATGCATTCAGGCTCCTGTGTGCAACTCAGCTTATATTACACCCTAAAATGAGGACTTGGCATTCAGACTATGCATGCTAAAAAAGCCACTCTTCAAAAACTCAAGAAAAGAAGTAAACATTCAATTATGCCCATTCTATGTAAAGAGAACTTATCTTTCTGAATCTCATCTGTGGAATAATTTTCTAACAATAATAGTCACTTTGAGACCACAGCTATGTCTCCTGGGTCAGACTGCTCTGTTCTGTTCTCTCCATTTGA